TGTATCTGTTGAGTTTATTTTTCAAAGTGAAAAAAGAAAACGAGGTTGTAGATAACGAAGAATATGATCTTGAATAATTGACAATGAAATTGATTATACCACCTTATAATACGTTCATTAAATATACGTGTATTATAAAACGAATCCCATCTTTCTTTCTTATCATACTAATATCGTCATACACTTTCATTCTTTATATATTCATTATCCGATAATAAATAAGAAGAAATATCTTTAGATAATCTTTTTCAATAATTGATTATCATGGATAATCTTTTTTCAAATAATTGATATATTCTTTATATAATATCGTCTCGAATTCGAGGTTAACTTAATAGAAATTCAAATATACGGAATGAGAAGGATATGGTATGAGGGATGTTGGTAGGCGTGGAGGGAGGTTGGGTTTGTTAGGTAAAGGGTCGAGTAAGGTTGAGGGTGGGTTAGATGGAGAGGGAGGGATCACCGTGAACTTTGACTTCGGAATTACTTCGTGACTGTCCACGAACGGTTCCGCTTTTGTGACACGACCTTTCTCTCGCAGTTCTTGAAATGACTCAGGTGGATCGTGGAGAGGTGTTGGGAGGGTGGAGGGGGAAATGGGCTGGAATGGGTAGTAGGGTGGCAGGAGAGTAAGAAAGCGTAGAGAGAGAGAATGCACGGAACGTTTGGATTTCTACTTGGAAGGTTTGGTCTTTTCGCTTCGATGAGTTTCTTTCTACCTCATTCTCATCCTCCTCGTTAATTTTCCTTCTTTCTTTCTTTCTAGTCATTTCCTGCCTGATCGATTGATCCAGAAATTATCGTGGGGGTTTTCTCGTTTTTTTTTTCTCTTTCTTTCTTTCTTTCTCTTTATTTTTGTCTCCCTTCACTGCCAGTATCCGAAGAAATTAATTGCCAATTCCAAAGAATTTGTTTTCCCTTCGTTATTCTTTCGTTTATCTTTTGTTTTCTTATTTCATATAATTGGGTTAGATGCCACCTTATTTTCCTTTTCTCCCGATAATATCTATATTGAAAATCTTTAGATCGTTATTTTTCTAATCCAACTTTTTTTTTTTTTCTTTTTTTTTTTTAGCATGTTGTAAATATTTCCACATGTTTTTTTCATTACGTTATATGACGTGCAACAGAACGCCATTTTTCTAACCTAAATTTTACCCTCGAACGTTCAGCTTTGTTTGGATATTTTATCGTAGTTCTTTAGGTATCATCCGTTTTAAATGTTTATTTTCTTTTGTGTGATGGTTCCTATATAATATATATATATTAAAGTCATTAGATCATATTTTTTGTAACCTAACTTTTTTTAATAAGTACACTAAAACATATTTTTTTATTTGAAAAGAATAAAAGAAATAAGAATTCTCATCACCTGTAAAGTGGCAGTAATTACGAGAGTGTGTTATCATTAAACGTGGAAGTATTTAACAAAGAAATTGATTATCAAAGTTGACCTGAATAATAATTACACCATGTAAAGCATCGTTGTGTTTTAGTTCGAAGAAAACTTTTATGCTGTAAATAGTAATAATAATAATAATAATAATAATAATAATAATAATAATAATAATAATAATAATAATAATAATAATAATAATAACAATAATAATAAACATAGTAAGAATAATAATAATAAAAAATAAATAATATAAAACGTAATAAGAATAATTATTATAATAATAAGGAATATCATCGTAATATATAATCGTGATCTTTTATTATTAATAATAATAATGACGTGATCGTATATTCGTTATAATAGTAATTGGAATAATAAACGATCGGTTAAAGTACGAATATGAAATATGTACATGCATATACATACATATATACATACATACATATAATATGAAATGGTGGAGGCGTCTTCATTTGGAATATAAAAAAAGGCACAAAGGGAGATAACTAAAAGAAGATATCAGGCTCGTTGGCTCCTCGTCTATTTCATTTATCGCACCATTAGAACGAAGTACTATATACTTCCTACTCTTTGCTGACATAATGACGACGATCACGTATCTTTTCCTTTTATTCTTTTTCGTCTTCTTCTTCTTCTTCTTCTTCTTCTTCTTCTTTTTTCTTTTTTTTTATCTATTTGTTTCTTTTCATTTTTTGTTTTTTTTATTTTTACTTTATTTTCCCCCACCTCATCCACATATTTTTGATTTCCTACGAATATATTCTGAATCATTTTTATTATTCATCCATCCTATGCGTAATCATTTATATACTATATATATATATATATATATATATATATATATAGTATTTTTAATTATTATAGTATTATTTATACTAATATAATTATATTGTAATATTATTTATTATTATATATTATATAAGATATATATATATATATATATATATATATATATATATATAACAGTATCAAAGTGTGAAAATAGAAGTTGAACATTAAAAAGAAAAAAGTTTGAAAGAGCAACGATAAAAATTGAAGAAAAATGAAAAAAAAAGAAAGAAAAGAAAAAAAAATGAACGTTTATATTAAAACTTAAAGAGATATTTATCTTTTTTCTTTCTTTCTTCCTTTTTTTTTTCTTTTTTTAAATATTCTTATCATTCTCGTAAAATATTCGTTATCTTTCCTCCCCTTCCCTCTCTCTCTCTCTCTCTCTCTCTCTCTTTCTCTCTATAATAAAATTATTTACGAGTAGTTTATGTTAGATCCCAAAGGAAATAATTGGCCATATGCCCTAATCGAATTAATAGTTACGATTGAGATAACTTTGAAGTAAGAGAACTCTTATTGATTATCTTCTTTAGAAATGATCTGTTTGGATCATTTGTAAAAAAAGAAAGAAGAAGAAGAAGAAGAAGAAGAAGAAGAAGAAGAAGATGAAAGATGTTTTCAACATGGCGGGGTATGGTCGTCGTCGTTTTACACAGAGAACAAAGTTTCGATATCGTTGGAGCAAAGAATTCCGGTTATCGAGCCGAAAAAATGAGGTCGAGTGGCGTTGACACGCTCACAAAGATAAATCATCCTCAGTTCTCTTCTAGTTGCGTTTGTTCATCGTCCTTCCGGTTTCCGGTTTCCTGTATGTTCTTTTACACTCTCTTTCTCTCGTTTATATCTTTTCTAACATGTTTCGATCATTCTCAGTCATCTTAAATGATTTTTGGTTAACTTCGATCGTTAACTTTAATCAATCTCAATTCATCTTCGATTCATCTTTAATAGTATAATTCGAATATTTTTCTATTGTTACTCTTTGTATATATTTTTTACTTGTCATTGTTCAATTTATTCGATTTTCTTTTGTTCCTATTATCATTTTGTCATTGTAATAATTAATTAATAGCTGAAGAAATTTATTGTAAAATTTTATAGAATCTCCTTCTCTGATAAACGAAAAAAAAAAAAAAAGAAAAAGAGAAAGAAAATAGAAAAACAAATTTGTAAAATCGTAAAGTGGCGCAAAAAGAAAAGAAAAAAAAAATTACGAGATGGAAGAGTGTAAGTTTAATGGCGGGAGGGGGGGAGGGAGAAAGGGGTAAAAAAAATTGCCAAATTAATGAACCAGTGTTGCCAAAACAAAAACAAAAAAAAGGAAAAGAAACTTAGTATTGTTCAGTGTTCAGAATTTATTTGCAATTAGGGTAGATCCACATGGGAAAAAAAATAAAAAAAAAATAAAAAAAAAAAAAAAAAAAAAAAAAAAGAAAAAAGAAGAAAAAGAAAAAGCAAAAAGAAGAAAGGAAAAAAAAAAGAAAAAGGAGAGCCTTTCGTCGAGAAGAATGGCGGCTCTCCTTCTCCTCCCACTCCTTACTCTTCCTATTAATTGGCCATTCTCTTTAATTAATCATTCTCATTTGCCTCGAGATGTTAACCCTCGTCAGTCAGTACTAACAGAGATAAAGAACGTTGTGACGCGTAATAGTACTCGTAAAGCGATTGAAAAGTTTCCTTGAGAAACTTGGTTTGATGGTTAGAGGGTGGGAGAGGGAGAGAGAGTGAGAGAGACAGGGAGTAGCGGGGTGGGGGTGACTAACAACTATTATTCTTTCTTCACGTTGTATCATTCAAGGTCAGGCACGTTATCTTTTCTACTCTTTTTTTTTTCTTTTTTTTTCTTTTTCTTTCTTTCTTTCTTTTCTTCCTTTTTCCTCCCTTCTCTCCATCTTTCTCGATTCTCTTTTATCTGAATCGACGTGGATGCATGGGGAGAAATTTTAAACAAACATTAGATTGAAATGACTTCAGCTTTATTCTGCCTTTAATGCTGGTATCGTATAAAAAGAGAATTAAAAGAAGAAGAAGAAGAAGAAGAAGAGAAAGAAAAAAAATTAGAGTATATAGATAATTGTTAAGAGGAAGGAAGACAAATAAAAAAGAACAAAAAAAAAAAATCAATGCAATGTATATGATGAGCGATGAAGGAGTGACGGGGCGGGGGGAAGGGATTTACTTTCGTAACTACCACGTCATTCTCATTAGTGTTTCTTTAGAAATTCGTCATGGATATATGTCTATACAATGAATATCTCGTTAATCACTTTTATTATTAATTATTATTAAAAATCTATTGTGATCTAATTTTCTTTAATTTCATTTAATTATTAATTATTAATATATTATATATAAAAATAATATTTATTATTTTGTATATAGTATATTAATTTTGTATATAGTATGATTAAAAAAAAAAAAAAAAAAAAAAAAAGAAAAAAAAATTTCTTTTCAATTCCACGCATTTGATTGCATATAGAAACAAAGGAGAGGAAAAGAAAAAAAAATGGCGGATTCAATTCTTTATCACGTAAATAAGAACAAAAGAACAATAAAATAACAAGAAACAAAAGTGATTCTAATAAACTTGTTCCTCTTCTCATTCATACATTCATTCATTCATTCATTCAGTCAGTCAGTCAGTCAGTCAGTCATTTAGTCGTTCATTCATTCACTGTCTTATTTATCTATTTACTTTCTTTCTTTTTTCTTTCTTTCTTTCTTTCTTTCTTTTTTTTCCTTATAG